TCGTAGAGACCCGGGACAGTGCTCAGCTATCCTTGTTGACAGATGCCTGCTCGTATGTCCGAGGTAACTAACACCCCAGATGCAAGTAAATTGATACACCACGTATGATTCGGACTTGGCCGGTAATCTGTCTTTAAGGTGCTGAGTAATAAATGGAGTGGTTCCAGCAAGAATGTGTGGATTTTCTGCTGGGTATGTTCTTGTCACTGCAGCGGAAAGGCTTCTGTTCAGTAGATCGAAAACGATGTCACCCTTAAACGGAACCGTCAGAAACACATCCATTTTGAGAACTGTGATGACAGGTTCACTGAGTTCACGAACAACAGCATGCTTTTTGATAAAAGAAGAGGGAAAACCGTTTGAGAGCAACGTAGTAAAGATGTGTTCCTTCTCATCTGCTAGCATCTCCGGGCGGCAGATTTTGGAGGCTCAGTAGTACATGCAATGGACTAAGTTACGTGTATACCTCAGAGGCACGAAACTCAGAAAGTGTGTGTATTGTCAAACCCAAGAATCCTTCCGGAGGACCCTTCTCTCAAGAGAGCCGTCTTCCCGTCTCACCAGTAGTACGTCCAGAAACGACAGCTTTCCTTCTTTTCGGTCTCTTTGGTGAACTTCAATGATGGATGTGCACTGTTGAGTCGATCGAGTAACTCAACTAAATCAGCACTCGAATTACAAAGAACGAACGTGTCATCCATATACCTGCAGTAGAAATCCAGTGAAACAATAAAAGGTTGGATAGGATCGCGTTTAAGCATTGCGAAGAAGACGTCAGGAAGAAGAGGTCCTAGGGGCGAACCCATAACGACTCCAGCAATCTACCGATAATAAATTCCATCAAACAGAAACTGTCTGTTAAAGGTGTATCGCAGGATTAGTTCCTTTAGTTTTTTCGGTTATGTATTCGCAAAGAAAGTTGACGGTCTCTAGCAACGGGAAGTTGGTGAAAAGTGACTCCACGTCAAATGAGAGCATCACTTTACCGTCTACCTTCAAGCCATTAACTTTTCCAATAAATTCAAATATGTCTCAGAACGTGTATGGACAGTGCATTACGTACGGGTTCCAGTAATTCGACAATCCGTTTTGCAACAGCGGGAAAAGCGGATGCCGATGTATCAATTATAGGAGGTAAGGGGACATGTGGATTGTGTATTTAGATAAATTATAAAACCGGCGTGGCTGAGAGCCAACAGGAGTTGATCGATCAAATATAGAGTCATTTATTGCATGCAGCTGTTTTAATTCCTTAAAGACTTCGTAACGTTAGTTTCATCTTCTGCGGTTCTGTCCTTCTGGACTGTATGACGCATGAACTTGCTTGAGTCTTGCAAAATAACGTGAATTTTGGCGACATACTCAGATCTGTCCATTAACACCCATCCCGATAATTTACCTGATCTAAAAAGGATGAGAGCAGGATTCGATCGTAATTCTTTAATTGCTTTTCGATGTTTCTTGGTCAAGATGTTTGACGACCATTTCTCGTAGCGAAGGGACTGTTGACAAATATGTACCAATGTAGTTTTAAAAGAGTCGGGCAAGGGGAAGGTGTTAATTCAGCCAGTTGTGCATTAAGTTTTCAAACTGGGTTTCTAGGTGGACTTGACCGCAAGTCGGTTGAATGAAACACCTGTGGCAGTATGCACCTCGGACATACTACCAGGCATCTGTCAACAAGGATAGCTGAGCACTGTCTCGGGTCTCTACGAAAACGCGCTGCCGGAAGTATCAAAAGTACCATCCTTGAACATCCGGTTCAAAGTGGATAGGGAATTCTGATCAATGACACTTTCAAATTTTTCTACACCGTGTCAAATGCGATATCCTAAGGAGATTAAGAGACGCCTCTTTATGATTGCGGAATCGATCGCGATCAAGTTAACGCAACCGGAGCTTTGCAAGCAGTTTTGTTTACTGGCCAGAAATGGATTCGGAAATTGAAGAATTTTGCTAACAGTGCGAATCTTGTCAAGTTGCAGCGAAGGTTCCTCCTAAGTATCGGTGGTAACCTTGGCCTAAAGCAGAGAAACAGTGGCAAGGAATACACTTAGACTATGCAGGACCAATCAATGGTCAATTCTATCTCGTTTTGGTCGACTCACTCACCAAGTGGTCTGATGTGATTCCGATAAACAATTCGACTGCCCAGCACACTGTCAACGAGCTGGAGAAACTGTTCCGATATTTCGGCCTACCAGAGATGTTAGTGACAGATAATAGAACACTATTCACCTCAACTTCTTTCCGCGAGTGGTGCAAAGAAAAGGGAATTCAGCAGACGTTCTCACCACCATAACATCCGCAATCAAACGGACAGGCGGAAAGGTTCGTGGATACGTTCAAATGTGCACTATGTAAAGCAGGGTAAAGCACGGTTTCACAGGATGCAATGTAATCTTTCCTATGCATGTATCGGAACGCTCCGAACTCAAACGCCCCTGAGGAGAAATCCCCCAGAGGTACTATTTGGAAGGAAGCTCCGGACGTTGTTCGATAACCTTTTGCCAAGGAGAAGAAAAATGTACGGTAGTAGTCATCTGAAAGAGGATCGCAAGGTAAGGCTCCGTAACTTCAATGTTGGTGACATGGTTTACGCCCTTGATTTTCGAAAGCCGAAGGGGTGGTCGAGCGGAACTGTTATCGGCAGGAAAGACAGAGTTATCTACGAGGTGATGGTTGGACGTGAGAAGTGGATTAGACACACCAACCAGTTGAGACCGAACCATGGTAAAACCCAAGGTCTCACGAACCACCAGCTTTGCATTGGGACATACTACTAGACACGTTCGGGTTGGAAGTTGGGAGTCAGTAACTCAGTGAGACACAACAAGTGCTGCAAACATCAGAAGAACAAAGCAGGCCGGCTCGGAAGCGGAGAAGACCACAATGGCTCAAAATCGAACCGCGGGGAAAAAGCTACGAACAAAATCAGGCTTGCAATCTGACTCAATTCGGAAAGGGAGATGACAAGTGGGCAAGAAAGCTGATTGTCAACGAGCTCGTGTCCGCCACAAAGCGTGCTTGGGACACACCCCGGCCCAGCCGAAAGCTGATGAAATCACGCATCAGACATTATGCGTGTTGCCAAGGTCTGACCGGAAGCTGATGAAATCATCATGTACGTTACTATGCCTCGGGTAGGCGGATGAAGACTAGCGTGCCAGAACAAGACGGTGAAGTGGCCAGAGGGAGCGGATAGTCAAGTGTGAAATGTGGGCGTACGAGAAAGACACGTAGCCAAATCCGCCAGACGGTGTATAGTGGATTGATGAGACCAACCAATAAAAAGGAGCGTTCTCAGTTCTAATATAACTCCGGTCGGCTGAGCCTTTTGTTTTCGTTCCTATCGTGTTGGCCAAGGCGTCAAGTAGAGCAGGCGTAAGGGTGCAGATTAACCAGCAGGCGTGAACCAACCGGTCGATTGCGGGTACAGCGTTATAGCAATTCTTGAACCCGATGATTGTACTGGCTGCAAAACTCATTGGTTCTAGCAATAGTGGAAGCTTCCAAGTAGTGGAGAAAACCTAGAGTGCATAGAAAGTCAGTTACCAGAAAAAATGCTGACACCATACGTACATTTAGATAAATATAGAAAATTATTCGACTGCGTTGCACCATGAACCAGCCACGAGGTATGTGCTTTATTGCGGTGGAACTGCTGTGGGTAGATCTAGATCGCTGCTGATAAGCGTGGACAGTAGTCAAGGCAGACTTTTGCCGTTATTGTTGGTAACAAATTTTGCTCGACGAGCGTTGGATTCTTTACACCGGCCATCGGTGTCTACTGATGCCATGAGAACCATACCTATTCCTCAATGCGAGGACAGCATGAGGTCTGACTGCTGCACTCCGCGGACCTTAATGCCTGAAGCATAGCGGACCAAACCAAACCAAACCGAACATAAGGACGCCTGTATGCTCATTTGGAGTTAGCTATAGAAGCCATCAAATTGGTGCCCACATACGGTCTCCAAAAATCAACTGTTGACGCATAAACCCGAAGACTACAATGCTTGTTCAGCACTTTGCAAATTACTCGTAAGTAGCAGGATTTTAGTTGTAATTTTGTTGAGGTTTCATCCCAAGGTTTTATCAAAGCTACATAGCACAGCCTAGTCCGGAAAAGCCCCAGCAGGGGGAAACGCATCTGGTGCTTCTCCGGACTAGGCTGTGTTACGTAGCCTGCGAATTACTAGGATGAACACCTCAACAAAATTACAACTAAAATCCTGCTACTTACGGGTAATATAAAATAGATAGTCTCTCCTAGTTTCAAAATGCTATGGATATCGCGTCCAGTGAGAGGACGCCATCACCTCGCAGGCGAACCAGTGTCAGTGGGTGGAAGATAGGTGGTGCTATATTCCAGTTGGTTTGCACAGTATGTAGCCCAACCAACGTCCACCATGGTTCAGTGGTTTAAGCTGCTGGCTAGTTGGCATCTGCCTCTAGCAGTCATGGGTTCGATCCTCCTTGGAGAACCGAGGGAATGCGCACCACTGACGAGCCCCAATAGGGCGAAACGCGTCTGGCGCTTTCCGGACTGGGCTCTGCTATGTAGCTTGTGAATTACTGGGATGAAAATCTCAACAAAATTTTGCAAATTGATGCTTTGGTTTAAATCTTCACTAGCGTCACTCAAGGAAACGGCAGTGAATCCACAGTAAATCGGTGTTTGAAACGTAGCTGCTAAACCAAATTGTTAACACTAGAGAACAGAAAATGACCAATGAGTAGTTAATTCTAGGCTGAAAGATCGAAACGGTGGACAAGGTCAGGTGAAGAAGAGATCTCTCATTTAGTAGACTGACATCTCGCATCTGATCCTAGCGCGAAAGAGAACAAAATGGCATCAGCGTAACCACCATTCATCAAGCGGATCAGGCAGTTGCGTGTGAACTAGACTCAAGCTGCTACTGGGGTCACAGAGATGAGCGCTAGTGTTAAGTGCAAGGAAAGACAAAAAGCAGCGTGACCCGTCAAGTTGCACTCACCTCCTGGCCCATCGGGGTTTCCATATTCCTCCCAGTTCTTCCTTGATTCCTCGTTTGTGAGACTAAAGGGAGAACAAGAGACGGCGACTTTGGCATTAGATGTTGACACGATGGAACACAGAGGAAACATCGGGCAAGTAAGGGAGTACGGGTGTAAGTAAACGCAGTAGGTTTGTTCAGGAGTAGCGTCCAAAGAAAAGAGATGGACTTACGCTGCATAAGCCTTTGATATCAGAATAAAACGTTTGGGATCGCCACCCTTGTCAGGATGATATTTGACGGACAACTGTTTGTAAGCGCGCCGGATTTCAGCAGAAGAGGCATCCTAAGAGATTACCAGAGTAAATAGTGAGCACCTTGCTTATTTCTAGCTGCACAAAGGGATCGAAGCCAGCCTCTGTCGGTTTCATCAATGTGAGTTTATAAATCAAAAGGAAGAAAATGATCCAGGCGAGTGCAAAACCACCTTTACTGCATCACAAAAATTGCGTTAAAAGTAAAGGGCATACACTGAAATCCTTTTGATCTTCTTTAATGGAGTTGAAAATTTGAGACTGTGACGCTTAATCTGACATGGTTGGCACATACATTTACGCTTTCCCTGGTCATAATAATCTGAAAATATAACCAATGAATGTGAACAAAAGACCTACCCTTGTTGTCGAACGATGGCCAACAGAAATAAGTAACCGGGATGAGAACAATGGTGTAGAATGAGGCCAGGAAACAAAAGAATGTATCGCCGTTATCATCGAATTCGAAACGGTCCCCAGGCATTATACTGGAGACTGTGGGGAACTACTTGAAAGACTATAGGTTGTAGAAGGCAAAGCCTGTTTTCTGAAAAAAAGACTTTAGTAAGCTGAAAGATGTCTTGCAGACCACAATGAAGAGAAAAGACTGATTAATAAAATGGTGACAGAACACGCTGTAGATTATTCGCTGATCTTTCGAGGATAAGCAACAGCAGTTAATCGTGCTGAATCCAATGCAATCAGTCAATTACGATCCGAACCCAGAAAATATAAGGGCCGATTTTCAACGACTTGAGCCGGCAAGATGATCAGGGAAATACGAGCAGTAAGAAATTAACAGATGCAATCAGAAAGGAGGGGAATAAAAAGATGTGTTGATTAAAAACAGACATTCGTAAAAAAACTAAAGTGTAGAGCTAACACCGACATAGGTAAGGTCTATAGCAGAGGTCTTGAACCGCTGTTATGGCCTATCCAGAGGCCGTCATCCAGGAAAAAGTAAGGGCGAATTAGGATTACCGCATTGAACAATCCCTTCAAATATTTTACCCATTCATCAAATGACCACTGCGGAATCCACTCATCGTGGTGCAGTGTGCAAAAACAGTAAAAGCGAGCGGGCAATAAGCATACGAAATCCCTAATCAAACTAACGCAGACGACTCGAGTGCGTACGGTAACCTAATACTGCATCTAATGATTTGGCGACGGACACCAATAGGTGGACATAAGGAGTATTCATTCAGTTACCTCACCCGATAAGGGGAAGGCTTCAGACATTAGGCAAAGACGACCAGTAAATCGATACTAACAACAGCTGTGCGTCGGCCATTTGAAGTGATGCTTCGCTGCCATACAACCATGATGACCATAAGAGTGCCCTACGTAAACATTCATGGTCAAGGCGCCGGTAAGAGGTGGAAGCAACATACAGTCAAAAATAAATGGATATTGTGCAAAAATAAGGCGGCATCGGCGAGACAGCTTCCTTGCGGCTTCCAAGGGGCCCCGCGTAATATTCAACCACTACCCCGCAGATAACTCAGCACCAAACACACTTTAAACAGACAATCCGACTAGGAGACGGCAGCAGACGCGCCACTGGTGTCGGTTGCGAATCATGTCCTGTAAAGTCTCGAGCCAAACACAAGGCGAGTCACGTAGACTCCAGCCCGGAAGACGAGACGGACCAACAACGCCAAGTTTGGTTGTCAAGAACTTCATTTCCCGCTGCCAAGTCAACTTCTGTCCACCTCGAGCTTTCCGCCACCATACACCTAGCAGATTAAGCAACTTCCTCCTAGGTAAGCGGTGACAAGACATTAGTAGTAGGTGCACAAGCCAATACAACTTATCTGTGGTTCTAAGGAGCCGGCATAATTACTACTACCTAGTATTCGTCTACGCACAACATCAAGGCGAACACGCCGGTTCCATTCGACACTAGAAATGTGTCGCAGACAACAATGATCAAAGACGTGTAGACGCCTAAGATGTTCAGACCAAAGATGCCAAGCCTCACTACCAAAGAGCAGAACGGCCCTCACTGTGGCTTTGTATGCACGGCCTCTCAGACGGAGGGAAACTCCCTTCTGTCGCCAAAAATGAAGCGGGTTCAAGAAGGCAACCCTTGCATATGCAATGAGGGAACTGAGGTCAGCTTCTATGTGATAATTGTTGCGGATGCATCTGTCAAGGTAAGTGAAATGATCAACCACCTAGAGATCCTCGTTATCAAGGGTCAAGAAATCAACGAGTGGCTGGTGGTCCGGTAGCCATATCTTGCACTATGAAAGTGCGAAGTGCATACCAAATAACGGGCCACTCTAGACAGACTATTCAGGATTGAATAGGCCGCTCCAACATCGTCCGCATAATCAAGATCAACTAACCCTTAACCAGACAGAACCTCAACGTCTACATCGTAAGATTCCGCAAGGGAACACTCCGTGATAGAGTCCACGACGAAGTTGAACAAAAACGGGAAAATCGGACAACCCTGAAGAACGCCAAATGCAGTCGGAAATCCATCAGACAGGTCACCGTTGACCCTATCGCAACCTGTAGTGTTCGATTAAGATGTTCCCATATTTCGTGGGAACACCTCTGCGCAAGCATTTCGAACAGAATACATTGAACGACTAAATCAAACGTACTCTTCAAATCAAGTAAAACAGCTACTGTCGGCCTGCGGTATGCATGGCACGGCTCTAGCACCTGTCGCAGAGTGAATATGTGGTCTGTACAGCCACGTAACGGGCGGAAACCAGCCTGCTCTTCCCTAATCCGAGATTCCCGTTGCACATTGAGGCGAGGAACGAGAATTAAGGCCAGTATGCTTGTAATAATTGGTGTTAGGCTAATACCCCCTGTGATTAGCAAAGTCCGTGTGATTCTCCTTGTAGATTGTCACTATAATCCATTCACTCCAGTTGGCCGGGACATTCTCTTCCTATCCAGATATGTTCGAACAGGGAGGTCAGTGCTCTACAGAGGACCTCACCCCCATCCGAAATAGTGCAGATAGGAGGGAATCCGGGCCAGCGACACGAAAAGGATTGACGGAAGTGATCAAGTTTTGGACCTCTAAACAACAACAATAAAACACACCAGCCATTTGAACTGATGCTTCGCTGCCATACAATCATGAGAACCTATGAAATAAAGAATAAGAGGGAGAGAAGGAGGACTTACCTGAAAACCTTAATACCCTAAGCAAACATTCAGGGTCAAGGCGCCTACACCTTGTGTAGACAACATTCCGTCACAAACAGCTGGCTATCCTGCAAAGATAAGGCAGAATCGGCGAGACCACTTCCTTGCGGCTTTCACTGCCACGCGTAATAATCAACAACTACCCGCAGATAACTCAGCACCAAACATACTTTAAACAGGCAATCCGACTAGGAGACGGCAGCAGACGCGCCACTGGTGTCTACTGCGAGCCATGTCCTGTAAAGTCTCGAGCCAAACACAAGGCGAGTCACGTAGACTCCAGCCCGGAAGACGAGACGGACCAACAACGCCAAGTTTGGTTGTCAAGAACTTCATTTCCCGCTGCCAAGTCAACTTCTGTCCACCTCGAGCCCTGCGCCATCCTACACCTGGCAGGCTAAATAAGGCCTTCCTAGATAAGCGGTGACCAAGCATGCGTTGGACGTGCCCGAGCCAACGCAACATGCTCAGTGCTATCTGTTGTTCTAAAGAGCTAGCATGATTATCACTACGTAGTACTCGCCTACGCACATCATTGTTGCAAACACGCTGGTGCCATCTGACACCAGCAATGCTTCGCAAACAACGATGATCTAAGACTTATAGGAGCCTAAGATGTTCAGACCAAAGAGGCCAAGCCTCACTACCATAGAGCAGAACAGCCATCAATGTGGCTTTGTATACACGACCTTTCAGACGGAGAGAAACTCCCTTCTGTCGCCAAAGATGCCGCAGGTCAAAGAAGGCAGCTCTGGCCTTTGCAATGCGTGAGCTCACGTCAGTTTCTATACGCCCATCATTGCTGATGCAGCTGCCAAAGTGAGTGAAAGGATCAACCACCTCGAGTTAGCAAGCGTCAAGGGGTCATCGAGTGGCTGGTGGTCCTGCAGCAACACTTTGCACTTTGAAGGTGCGAAGTGCATACCAAATAACGAGCAACTCTAGATAGGTTAATCGGGGGTGATTGTGACGCCCCAACATCGTCGAAAAGGAAAGCGATATCGTCTGCATAATCTAGATCAACTAACCTTTCACCAGGCAGCACTTCAACGCTTACGTCGTGCGATTCCGCAAGGGAACACTCCATGATAGAATCCACGACGAAATCGGGAAATCGGGCAATCCTGACAAACGCCACTTGTGGTGGAAAAGCTATCCGACAGGACACGGTCAACGATGACGCGGTACGAATGATGTTCACATCTTTCGTGGGAACACCTTTCCGCGCAAGCAATTCGAACAGAATCGATCGATCGACTGAATCAAACGCACTCTTGAAATCGAGGAACACAGCTATTGTCGGTCTGCGGTATGAGTGGCGCGGCTCTAGCACCTGCCGCAAAGTAAATATATGGTCTATACAGCCACGTCCTGGGCGAAAACCGGCCTGCTCTTCCCTAATCCAATATTCGCGTTCCGCAGTGAGGCGACGAACAATAATCCAGGCCAATGATTTTGTCACAACTGGCGTTAGGCTAATACCCCTGTGGTTCGCACAGTCTGTGCGACTGTCCTTTTTGTATATTGCCACTATAATTGATTCGCTCCAATTAGCCGGCACAATCTCTTTCTTACAGATACATTCGAATAAGGCGGTCAGTGCTTTGAGGAGGACCTCACCTCCATGCTTAAATAGTGCAGGTGGGAGGGAATCCGGATCAGCGGCACGAAAACGATTAAGGGCTGTGATCGGCCTCCGACGGAGACTCTAAACTAACTGTCCATGGCACGTCCTGCATCACTTGAGTTGGAAGAGGTCCAGGAGCAGGGGGCCAGCTGAACTGAGCTTCAAAGTGTTCCGCCCAGCGAGCCATACGGCGCTGCTTATTGTGAATCAGCGCACCCGCGCTGTCTCTTGCTGTCTCATTGACGCCTGGTTTCCTGGGATCAGTGGTGCGAATTAGCTGCAAGAGCTCGTGGTAATTGCCTACTGCTCCTGC